TTAGCCCAGAAGTCGGAGACTTGTGCGGGAGAGGAGGCGGCATATTATTATTAGGCAGGCCGCATTTGCGCCCAGGAACGACTTATGTTGGTAGGCCCTAATCACCATTCAGTGCAGGAATGAGGGAAACCTGGAAAACCTCATTAATTAGGGGGGTGGTCAAATGCCAACCGGTGTCAATCTCTCACATTGACCCAAGCCAACATTCTTCCACCTTACCATAGCTGCACAGAGGGTGCCAATCCTCCATACAAGCATAGCTAATCTACGGTCTACCGGCCGCAGGACAGGAATCGAACCCGGGCAGAAATTTGCACACGATTTAAGTACTGACGCCTTAACACGTGCGGCTATCGACCAATACAATATATAAATGACATCACCAACTCCTTAAATATGAATGTGTTAAATGTACTTTTTGCTGATGACACTAGTGTATCAATAAAAAATAAATACTTAATTGATTTGTTGGAAGAAATACCTCAGATGCAATTAACTGTGGAGAACTGGTTTACAAGTAATAAACTTTGTTTGAATAGGACAAAGACTGAGACTATGATATTCACCTTACGAGAAATTGATAACGGCGCAGAACCGGATCACGTTAAATTACTTGGAGTTTACCTAGATTCTAAGTTGCTTTGGGAACAACATACAAACAATATCTGTAAAAAGATGTCAAAATATATGTATCTACTACGAAATTTTGTGGGTAGGGTATCGTTGAGTACTCGGAAAATAGCTTATTACAGTTTTATACATTCTAATATATCCTATGCTTGTGTGGGGCCATGCTACCCCTAATAGGGTTGTGTTCGCACATCAAAGAAGGACCATTAGAATTATGTTTGAGTTACAGGAGCGACTGTAAACAGCATTTCATTACTTTAAATATATTTACTGTACTATATTTATATTGCAATATTTACTATATGTCAAACTAAACTTAACAAATTTTTATCATAATATCATCATATTAGATCAAAGAATAATTTAGCAACTAACTATTTAAAACTAACTAAGACTAGAAATGGTACGGGATATATAGAAATACGTCTTTTCAGTGCCCTACCAATCCACATAAGGAATCTCAATCCTAATCAATTTAAAAATAGAATAAAAAAAATTCTTTTGAAAAATGCATTTTATGATATTGAGCAGTTTTTTGACAGTGACTTTAATCATTTGTGAGCTCCGAGCTATTGTATTTGTTTTTAATATTGTTTTATCTGATTTTATTTATTCTGTTATAATGTGAATTTTAATCTGTATTCTTATTTTTACTTAATTTTAGGATTATGTATGTAAATGTAATTGTAACTGTGTTATAATTTGAAAATATCAATCTTTCTTTTCTGACATGTTTTTTGTGTAATAACACGAATCAATAAAAAATGAAAATAGCCCTTTTATAGGTTTTGAGGTGCTATAATCGATTATCAACATTATAACCTCAATTATTTCAGCTATTTCAAATAAATTCAACAAATTTTCTCCAAAATTTTCTATTAATATTGAAATGAATTGAAATTGAATTCATTATACAAATGTACAATCATTAGAATACTAATAATAGGTATTCAGTAGTCAGTATTCCAGTATTCTTTGCTCACCTCTGCTGCATAGTTAGAGATGAGTTACTAGCGATCGCATCCTAAAAAAATCCTGGATTTTGACATTAACAAAAGATTTTATATTTCTAAATTGCTGCATATAAACAATATTTAAAGAATACAAATTGCCCTAAAGTCCATTGTTCCCTTAGTATTCATTTTAGGAAAAAAATATTTTAAATAGAGGCAATTTTTAACAGTTGCAATGAATCTAGTATACATATAACAAAAAAAACATTGTTTTGTCTAGAATCTAATATAAGAAAAGAATATTGTTTTGTCTAGATGTATTAACTGGTGAAGTAAAATTTCCTTGTACGGGATCGATTATAAGCAACAGGATAGTCCTGACTGCAGCACATTGCGCCTTGGCAAAAGCAGAAAATTTCAAATTGTAAGTACATACATAATAAAAATTCAGTATAATCAGTACATAGTTCCTACTTTATTTTTGTAACAACATATTAATATAATTTATGCGGTACACTGAGTTTTCTTTACTCAATTGTTCAACTAAAATTGTTTTTCTGTCTGATACACTTTGAGGAAATTACATTTTACTTTGTTTCAATTTCCCAAATTTTTACAGTCTGACTTGATTTTATTTTATATTTTGATTTTGTTTCAATTTTGTTTTTTAATTCTTTTTTTCCATTCTGTTCATAATAAGAGACTGTAGTATTATTTTTTCATATCATATAATCATAAAATCATGATCAGAAAGCAATCTAGTTGATTTATTTAATAATTCTTTGAATGTGTTTATCTAAATTAGCATTTCCGAATGAAGTAATCGTTTATGTTTGTTTGATGGTTTGATGTTTAATGTCATCAACTTATTTAGAAGAAATCTGAAGAAGGTGACGGCATTAACACAATAAGAATTGGATGACCACAGCAACATAAAAAAATATAATTTAATTGGATAATAGCTGTGAAAACTCTTTCTCAAAACTATTTTTTACATGTAATTAGACCAAATAAATATATATGTGAATTTTAGATATGCAGTCCGAATAGGAGAATGGATGACTACAACAGCCATTGACTGCGGAGAGGAGTTTTGTGGCTTGCCTGTACAAGACGTAGCAATCAGCCACGTGGTAGTTCACCCAAGTTACCAGAAACAAACTTACAAGCATAATATCGCGATGCTCGTCCTAAGGTCGAAAATTAACTATACAGGTAAAATGTCATACTGTTCCCATACATTTTCAAAAATTATAGTGTGAAAAGGCTAGTGAAAATTTCATTTGGAAGTTCAGTAAAGAATTATACAGTGTGTTGACAAATTTGGAGATAATTTTTAATGGTAATTAGATTGCATTAACATTTTTTCAATTTCACATTTTTAATCATCAGAACCGTGAAACTGTAAAACATCGTTTAAAATGAATAATAATTAGTATTCTTAAAACTTATTGAGAACTTATGGAATAGTCTACATAAAATGAGGTAAATAACTGTGATCGTAGATAGCGCCCTGTCTGATTTTCTGTCCCGTTTTTTGTGGTAAACCGAAAAACTTTTAGTTTAATTTTAGGTTTCAATCAATTCTGCTTTAGTTTTCATTACGGAAACGTGTGTTTTTAGAGTTTAAATTTCAAGCAACATTATTAGCGAACAAGTGAAGTGTGTTGCTGTTTTCTCATGATTAGTTTACATAAACACATAAATATATTTACATTTATTTACAAAGATGGATGGATTTTCTTATAGACGCCATATTGGATTTTTCCACTATTAGATAAAGCGTCAAATTTCGTGTTCAACCATGTATAATACTTGGGTGAAGGTTGTTTTATTAAATCCAAACAACGCCAGTTTTTTTATTAATTCAATTTTGTCGTAGTAGCCAAAAAAAATCAAATGAAAATGTTGACATTTCTGTTTAAAAGTATAAGTGTTCAAATGTTTTTATTATTTGTTTGTAATACAACACAATATTCAGAAAGTGAAAAGACAGATGTGTATGATGTACGTACATGCAATGTGACAAAAACTCAGTGACTGTGTCGCAGCGTTATGTAGAGAAGTATCCCGAGAGAAGGTTACCAAACATGAATATTTTTCATTATACAAGTGATTACAAGAATATTGTACTTTTAAAAACGTACGAAATCGTATTAGTAATGGAACATCAAATAAAATCTTGGCACAAATTAACATACATCCAGAAATATCTCAAAGACAAGTGGCATTAGAATAATTAGACGTTACAAGAAAACATAAGTATCACGATTTTAAATTTAAACCAGTGCAAACATTTGCTTCCTGAAGACAGCCAATAAAGGCTGTAGCTTCGTGGATGGTTTCGTGATGAATTGAGGACAGCTCCATTTTTTCCTGTTAAAATATTATGGACTAATGAAGTATTATTTACGAATAGAGGAGTGTTTATCAGAAACAACAAACACTTGTACACCGTCAAAACTCACGTTTAACATAGGAATTAAGGACACAAATTCGGTTTTCTGTAAACGTTTGGTGTGGTCCTTTGCACGACCAGTTACTAGGTCCTTACTTTATTCCTCAACTTTTAACTGGTGAATCATATTTTAACTTTCCACGAAATGATTTTGTAGAAATTTTAGTTACTTCTTGAGAAATTGCGAAACTTGATGCAACAAGATGGGGCGGGTCCTCATTATGTCAGAATTGTAAACAATTTTTGGATGATTGTTTTAGATTTCTGGATTGAAAATAATAGTCCTAAACGCTAGCCATGAAGATCACCGATAAAATCCTAGGATTATCTTCTTTGGAGATATGATTTACGCTAGACCACTTCAGTGTATCGAACAATTGCGAGTAAAAGTAACAGAAGTGCCTCGGTGAATTCCACCGGAAACAATTCAAAATTCAGGAACATAGCTCGCAGAATACTTTTTTGTATCGAACACAGGGGGAAATAATTTGAACAATTTATTATATTTATTTCTCTCTATTAATTATTAATTTATTAATTTATTAAGTTTTCAGAATAAAACGTAAAAGTGTCTAGCTCTTCACTTATTGCATATTGTGTCATAAAATTCTGTACAATTTTGCTCATTTGTATCTCTGTATCTCTTAAAATAAGAAAAATACCTACAATGTTACTCCAGAAGGTCTATAATCAAAATTATGCGATATCAGTTACTATTAAAGTGTTTTTGATATACGTACCTCAGTATTTTGCTAAAGAAAAATGTTTGGGTATTTCTTACCGGCAAATATAAAAAGTTAAATTTCCAAATATTTCTGTTTTCACCGCCGTTTTCATTTTGAATCACTTTAATATTATTCTTTTAATGCAATACCATGAACCTTAAAATGCTTACTTTCGGATCACCAAATAGGTGGTCAGTTCCAGTTTGGTACGTCACTGACATATAGACCTTCTTCAGTGCCTTTTTATGAGTAATGACATGCAAATTGTTTTGAAATATTTTATTTTTAATTTTCCTGTTTACAAAAATGCATCTAATAAATTGACTTATTTGATTAGTTAATTTTCCAAAACTCGAAACATTGAAACATGGGTATCTTTAAAAAGATTTAGATTCCATGAGATTATAAAAAATGCGAGGTAAATTTTGATTAAATCAAAGTGTTACGTAAACTAAATTTTCCCCAAATTAACGGTAACAAACTCACTTTTCAATACAGCTGTAAAAGAAGCGACCTTGAAAAGGATAATCTAATTGATGTTTCATGCCATGGCATGCAGGTCCAGATTACGGCGTGAAATTCTATTCATTTAGGACTGGACTCGTGGGAAGGCGCCAAACACCGTTCATTAACACTAATTAACGTTTTCTATAGCTTTCAGAACTGTAAAAATAAATACCTAGTTAATCTAGCTATATCATTGTACATATTACTATTTCTCGTTGTGCTTCTTATTTCAAAAAGCTGAAATGTAGTCTAATACTACCCTTTCAATGTTTGATTTTGCTACATAAAAATAACTGATTATGATTGTGTTTTACCAACTATTTCACCTCGAAAAACGTTAGGCTTTCTAATATTATGAAATAAAAAAAAATGTAAAAAAAACAGTACATACAGTGCTATACGATATAGGCCAACTTTTTTATTTGAAGTGATAGACTAGTACTTCCAAATGAAAAGTTGTAGGAAATAACTTGATTAAGAAAAATTTACAAATAATTCTTTCCGGTGTTGCCAGATTTCTGCAGTAGCTACAAAAACGATATTTTTTTAAATGGCAATACTGTATTTTTTTAACATAATTTGACAAACCTTCAAATTCTAAATAAAAAATGTTATGTCACATTTCTTTATTGGAGTAGCCGTTTTCGAACGATCAGCAAAAACAACGAAAATAATCTGCAGTTAGCAGGAACTAAAAGAAGCTACAGCAATAGTAGGCCTTGGATATTAAACAAAAATTGTGTTGTTTGAAAGGAGTTATCATTATTATATTGTCATTGTGTTATTTGAAAGCTGTTAAAATAACGTTTTAATTCAGTTGCGAAAATGATTTTCAGCCTTTTGCAGACCGTACCAGTTGTTTTCGGTTTTACTTAGTTCTTAAAAACTCCGACTTTGGAAAAGGCTTATCGGGATGTATTGCGTAGAATTCAGTGCACGTATTGCGTATACTTAAGCCATCAACATGAAAAAAAATCAATTCAACTTTCTCTTTTGGATTAAATAACCGATTCATCTTAGCAACTTAATTAAAACGTTATTTTTATACACATTCAAATACAACAGCTTTCAAATAACACAATGACAATACAATAATGATAGCTCCTTTCAAACAACACAATTTTTGTTTAATATCCAAGGCTTACTATTGCTGTGTTAGCTTTATTTAGTTCCTGCCGACTGCAGATTATTTTCGTTGTTTTTGCTGACTGTTCGAAAACGGCTACTCCAATAAAGAAATGTGACATAACATTTTCTATTTAGAATTTGAAGATTTATCAAATTATGTTAAAAAAATACGGTGTTGCCATTTAAAAAAATATTGTTTTAGTAGCTACTGCAGGAATCTGGCAACACCGGGAATAATTATTTGTAAATTTTTCTTAATCAAGTTATTTCTTACAACTTTGCATTTGGAAGTACTAGTCTATCACTTCAAATAAAAAAGTTGGCCTATGTCAGGTTTTAAAAAAATAGCACGTATATGGATTCATTGGTCAGGTAGAGAAAAAGATTGTTACCGATTTACAGAAAATAACATCTGTTCGACATGCTTCATGTATGGCTGGATTTCGATAAATTAAATATTTATTCGATGATTTGTTATATCCGTTTCAGTGACTGCGCAACCAATATGCCTGCCGGAATCGTGGTCGGTCACTAACAATAATGGCCTGTTGGTTGGTTGGGGAAAAACAGCTGGACAGACAAGTAAGTTTTTGGAAAATTATTATGGATCGGTCGAGACAAGCTTTTTCAAATATTGGCAATTTTTTTAGATGTATTGCTGATTTGAGGTTCTTCAGAAAAAATGAGACTGTCTTTTATTTTTGAAACCCATGGTATCAAAAATGATTTATTTATTCAAATTTTATCCATATCATTAAAAAAAATGTATTACTCTGATTGTGAAATTTGTTCACATAGGATTTTAAGATAAAAAGAAATAAATAAAACAAATTATTATGAAATTTCATTCCATTCTTAAATACCAGTTTCATCAAGCTCAAGTGATACTTGAATATTCCTGCATTCTTCAGTTTACATTACTATTCGCTGTATTGCAGTCGTGTAATCTAACCCAAAATTATATTTGTTATTAATTTACAAAATCAATTTGACAGCTACACCACCTCAGCAACAGATCCTAAATCTTCCAATCATCAGCATACAAGAATGTACCCGCGTATATGGAAGGACCTTACCAATTTCTGATGAACAAATTTGTGCTGGCGGAGAAGCGGGGAATGATGCTTGCAGTGGTTTTGGAGGAGCTCCATTACTAGTAAGACATGGAGACACGTATTATCAGGTAGGGGTTAATTCAACTCCATCAATAGTTTTATTGATACTCAAAGATTCTGTAAAATATTATATAACGGTGTAAACGTTATACGCCTTTCTTAGCTGACGCTTTCAAGAGTTTCAATGGTTATAGCTCCTATCCTGTAGACTGTCTTAACTAAAAATTTTTAAATATAGCATTCCGCAATTGTGATATTGTACGGTTCTCGAAGAATGCTTTTTTAGTAACACCACATATGCTTCATTTGATTATGCCGTCTTCAGATAATTCGAAAAACTGGATAGACAAAAGAGTTTAAATTCGTTAATTTGAACTTAAACACTAGTGATTATCAAAACTAAGTTTTAATTTTTATATCGTCATGATTCATGACATATCTCATTAAAGAACAGGAAGAAATGGCAAACTCCTAACATTTTTTTTTTCTAATAAAAGAAGGATGTTTTCCTAAAGTAAAATGATTAGATTTATTCTATTTAGACATTACTGAAAAAGAAATAATTGGCAATATACAACAACTTAAAAATAAAAAATCCCCAGAATCAGATTGAATTAGAGCAGAATTTTTAAAATACATAGTAAAGCATTTTGGTGTATTGTATACAGTGTGTTCCCGGATGGGGTACCGCACTCCTGTAACTTTTGATTTTTCAAGTTATTCTTGATAAAGAGTTTTGCTTATCTTGGGAAGCCATGGCCAATAATCAAATGTGTAATGAAACATACAGGGCGTGCAAAAAATTTCAAAATGTGAAATTTTCCTAATCCTGCTAACCTTGGAGCAACCAATTTATCTTGCGAAATGTTATGGAATCGGTAATGTTTCATATCGTTATGCAATCCAAATTTTTAATGAAAAGAATCCAAAAAAATATAAATATAAAAAAAATACATTGATAACGATACTGCTAATGTTAGAGTTATGGACTATGTACAAGACAATCCAAAGATGTCACTCAGGAAAAGGTCAGAAAACAGATATACAGGGTGGTCCCGAGGTAATGGGCCAAAGTTCATGGGTAGATTCCCGAAGCAAAAATATTGCGATTTAACCGAACTTACCTTAGTCCAAAAGTTGATAGTTAAAGAGATGTAGGGTGTTAAATGTAAAATATTATTTTAATTTATTTCCATTTATTTCTTAATAAATGCAAATATCTACACAAAATTTT